ACTCTGTTTCATCAAATTATTAATCAGCACACTTTCTAAAAAAATTATTTGTGATGCCTACCTTACTAAAATACAATATGACTTTTATAAGTGAGAATAAAACCCCCTGTAGAATGAACTCAATAAAAATTACTTGAATTTCAATCCCATTATGTCCTCATGTGTTTCTTATTATGTATTTAGTTTATTTTCAATTCGTTATGCTCATTTACTTTTATGTATTGAATTCAATTCATTATGCTAATTTATAATTAACAGTTTATATCTATTCACTGTATAGAATACTCTTACATACATATTTATCAGTTTTAGTCATAGTTTAGAATTTGAAAATATCACGCACAACGAACATTTTTTCGAAAATGTTCCTTCTGTGATGCCTACGTTTATTTACCCAATCTATGTTATATAGATGTGATCAATGTGGTGAATAAACATTTTTTTATACCGAAGTATGCGCTGCCTCGATACATTCGGGAGGACGCGCCAGCATTATCCAACGATCATTGGGTCCGAGAATCATGTGCCCTGTGCAAGCGCAGTGAGCCAAGAATGACAGTCTTCTGCATCTGTCCGGTTAAAATTTCTGTCTTAGTGCGGCAGGCTGGTATGATTTTAAGATTCGAAAGTAGAAAGGACATCATTCTACTAAGGACTCCAATTATCAGAACAACCATCTTGACAGAGTGGTCTGGATAGAGTCTGCGAAGTTCGATGAGAAAATCTCGATATTTTATTCATTTCTCCTCCTCTTTTCGGACGATATTCGTCTCGCCAGGATCAATCAACAAAAACATCACATATCTATGATTGGAAACTTTTTTAGTTGTCCCGAAGAAAGTAGTCAAAACTAACGATCGTTCAATATAGCCTTTGGAGCATCTCTATATTCTACTCGTAGCATATCATCATAACTATCACACACACACACATAAGATTTCAGTTTGATGTCATATTGGAACTATTCGATTTTGTTCGAGAATAATCTGTTTTCATCCTATAATAAAAATCATTGTCTAATAATAGGTGTGGAAAGTAATAAACATAATTTGATGCAAACTCTAACTTTATAAAATAGCTGATCATCAATAATGATCGTTTCCTGATAATTTGATACGAAATATAGGGGTTACATTCACCGCGCCCAAACCACTTCACAATCAAGGTAAACGGTTATTATTGACTCACTTTCCTGAAACCTGCATTAATTTGCAAATATACCCCATGAATTACAACCCTATTTCCCAATAGTGATCGGTCTAATCGATCGAAACTAAATTAAGATTGGATTGACTGGTTTGAAACATGATATGAAGGGTGAAATGTGCATACATCATAATTTGATGAAGATTTTGGCCTCGTTTCTTGACAGCGCAGCGAATAAATAATGAATGCTGATATCTTTGATAATATTAAAGCCCTTTCTACCGTGAATTAATAGTTCAGATATAACTGTGAGATTTGTATTTTGGGTCAGTCATTCATTATTTTGTCGACATCGTTTGTAGTGAACAATGACAACAATTTGAATTTTTGATTGCCTATTCATTTTGGGTTGAGTGGAAGAACAGTTTAGCACTTATTTGCATAGCTGCGAAAATTGAACTTCGCCATTTGCTATATGTTTTTTCATACTTGTTTATGTCGAATGTCAATTTTAACTTGAGCTTGAGCTTGAGTCAACCTCAAAATTTGAAATCTCCACATGGTCCTCTTCAAGGCACAACAGGTGGTTTGCCGTTTTTCAAAAAATTATATATCATTTATGATGTAAATTAATTGTGTTGATCTCGACTTTTCTGAGGTTATTTTTTTGTCTCTACACCTATATATGTTGTGTCTACATTTTAATCATCCTGCCGCCTAACCTCACATACACTGTAAGTTAGGTTTTTGACTGATCTCCTTTTATAGATCTAATCTGTCTTTTTATCCATTTTGTAGCATCCCTGATGATGTAGTGGACAACATAGTTTTCGGTACTGTTTAAAGACTGATAGTGGCTTCTTTAGCTAATCGGTCACCCTTTTCTCATACATGAGAAAGGACCCCTTTTCCATAGCGTACATTGATCAGTTCTTTTATATGACGAATGATGACTTGAAGAATCTGAAATAATAAAAAATTTCGTGGAGTTGTTCTTCTCTATATACTGCAGTGCTTTCCATATGGCGTAAAGCGGGTGTTTAAATAATGAACTCGATTGATGACTGGTAAAAGCGGCTCCTTCAACGCCGTCTTCAGATTTAGATGCGTCTGTGTAGATTGTGTCAAACTCCTTGTATTTCGTATGAACCATTTCATATGAATTACATTTGATGACTTCGCAGTGATGTCTCTCTTTTTGAACTGGTTAAGGTTGTATCAATGAGAATTTTTGGGGTAGTGGGGTTACGGATATTGGGGTCGGAGAAGGTTTATGATTGATGGATTTTCAAATTTTATAGATACTGATTTTGTCTCTCGTAAAAAGGTAGGTCAGCTCTTTTCTTCTTAGCATATGTTGACAAAAATATATGGGCAATCACATTATGGTATACTGGGTTTTCAGGGTTTGCTGTAATGGAAGCAGCATATGCGAGGGTTTAAAACTGCCTTCGGGATGCTAAAAATTGTTCGCCTGATTCACATTGTAAGCTTTCGGTTGGATTTGTGAAGAATGCCCCAAGGGCAATTCTGATAGCATTATTGCGAACAGTATCCAGTTGTTTCATACACGATTTCTTCGACGAATTATATACTATTGATCCGTAGTCTGACTTTGATCTGATTGGGGATCTGTCTGTATTCCAAGTTTTTGAAGCAATGTTTAGACCAGAAAGTCATGCTAGAATAACTGTGCTAAAATTTGCCTGTTTTCCCATTTCAAGGGGAGAGTAGAGTAATATCGTCAGTCAAATGTGGGTGTATCAACAAAGCAGAGTATAGCGAAACAACTTTCTTGAGTTGTGGTAATAGAAATAATTGTGATGATATTTAGCACTCAACATTTTACTGTGTATGATGACCAAGTAGGTGAGCTTTCGGTACTTGATCCTAACAACTTTACACTACTGCCTGATCTTATGACCGGGTTACTAGAGATAGTCAGCTTCAAATGTTTTGAGTTGAACCATTTTTTCAGGATCTGTGGTTGTCCTTTTGGTGTCAGAGTTCAGGTTCACTATTCCTTACTCATCAGAACTGATAACAGATGGGTCATCAACAAACATAATAGTTTTTTTGAGAAAAAGGTGCCAAATAATTCATATACATGATGAAAAGAAGTGGACTCTAAAACCTACCCTTGAGGGACTCCATGTTTTATGGATGGACCATATTTATATTCATGAAGAAGCTTATTATATTTTCCAATGCAACTGATGATTTTTTCTTCAACAACACTTTTTCAGATATACATTCTATTGAAAAGAATCTATAGTTGTCAGGTATATTGTCATCTTCTGCTTTGAATATTGGAATAACTTAGATAATTTTGTAAATATCTGAAAATATACCAATAGCAGAGACCAAAGTTTCACCAAATAAACCAAAACTTCCTGAATGCATACAGAGTTCGATTTACTCTATTCGTCTTACAGGCAGTAAGTAGTGCATGTAATCCTTTAAAACATAATTAATATTGGGATGCGCAATGGAATGCGCAGATTATTATCTTTACAGACAGTTAGAACGCACTTGTGATATGCACTGTTTGGAACCTTCAGTGTAGTAATGAATATTACTGGAGTTTTTTCCCAACACCAAACCGTTATTTTAATACTTCGACAAAGTGATCATCTTCAAGAGGAAGATCAAATTCAAACTTGAAGATGATCACTTGGTGATCGAAACACGTGTCGAGGTATTAAAATATCGGTTTGGTGTTGGGAAAAAACTCCAGTAAAATTCATTAGTTAGAACGCAGTTTAGGCATTGACAAACCATGACATTTTGACTGGTCTGGAAATGCTGCGAAGAACTGAAGGAATTGAACGAAACATATATAATCCACAGGTCCGCTACACAACGTAGCGGCCTAACAATGGAATTGAATCGTGAACATTTTCGTGCGATTATTTTTTACGTTTTGACGTGGATTAACTCAACAACAGTGCATGGATGAACTTAATTCAATGAAGCTACATCAAGGATCAATATTTATCGATGCTATGGTGAATTCAATCATGGTCGTAGTTCACTCCAAGACGAATTTCGTGAAGGTTGTCCAAAATCGGTCCAAAATATTGCAACGCATAACAGTAATTCTGATTGGTACACAACCATTTGTTTGCCAGTTGTCTTCCAAAAAATCAGGAAAACCAACCGCCGAAGACGGATCACTCTTCACCACGACAATGCATGCATTTTTAAGCACCCAAAACATCGATTTGATGAGTCATCCGCCGTATAGTTCTGACTTGGCACCGAATGACTTCTTTTTATTCCCGCACCTAACTGAGAGGTCAACGTTTTTCGACACCTGAAGAAGCTGTTACTGCATTCAGAATGCATGTTTTGGAGATACCTTAATTAGAATGGCAAAAGTGCTTCGATAATTGGTTCAAACGCATGCAGAAGTGTATAGATCTTCATGGGAAATATTTTGAAAAACAATAAAGTGATTTTCGATGATTAATATTTGTTTTTGTTCTCTTTTTCCGAAATATGAAAGGTAATCCTCGCAGAAGATTATGGGTGTTGAATGAACCCAATTTGTGACATTAATCTCACCATAACTCCCAAACCACCTGGTACAAATCCAAACAACCATACATTTCTGAGAAATATTTTGAAAAAAAAATTCAGTGAAAATGTTAAGGCTGACCTTTTTGTAAAAAAACTTTGGTGAATCACATTCACCACACTACACACCCTGTAGATTGATGAACCTAACTTCCATTACTCTCTACAACTTCTACCTTCCTACCTAGAGATCATATCTTGACTGAATAATTGCAAAACATCTTGAGATTCAAAACTTCACATACCTACATACAACATTTTTGTAATCTACTCACATTATTCCGTGCTCCCACATCAGATCCCAAGTCGATCAGTCTATCAATCAGAGACGTTCTATTGTCTTTCACTGCATACATGAGAGGTGTCATCCCGGTTGCCTGGAAACAAAATCATTCAATATGTTTGTTCAATAGATTGACATCAATTTGATTACATTCTTTGTTCCAGAACACATATTAAGGACATGTGATGACAAAACAAAACTTATGGTCACCGATTCGTTCAAAAATAAAGAGTTGATCAATAGTTTGGAGAGGTGAAATTTACTGATTATTTTCTCAAACTTTACATAAATGCTTCAACAGAAATTCACAGGTAAATTTTATAGTTACTGTAACTAAACTAGTTACTAACTAGACTAGTACTAGACCCTCCACTCAGACAACTGAAAAAAATATGTAAATCAAATGAAACTCAGCAAAACAACAACAGATACAAGAGACCCAAATGAAAAGTGAATTGCTACACCTCACTGATTCACATAACCTCACAAAAAGTATATGAGACGTATTTTTGATGTATGTAACCTCGTCAAGTAGGTTGGCTATTGTTGACAAATACGAGTTTAATCATTCACATACTCTGTTCATATATTCAAACACTGTACTTTCGAACAAATATATCTGCTGAAATTTCTCGTAATTCAGGTAATGAAATTTATTTCATTAGTAATTGATATTTTTTTCATATATCGATGCATTTAGCCAAAAATATTTCAGGAAATGATCTTTACGAATACTACTCGACCTGAAAATTTTCTCAGATACATTTCCATTTTTTCGAATCAACGTTTTATTAGTTTTTAGCAATACCAGTCGAGCAATCATCAATAAATGAAACCACTCGTCATATGGACTCGTGGATCCATTATGATATATTGCTCTTTAGGTATTGCCTACAGAAAATAATCGATATAATTCGAAAGTGTTGTGGTATTCCTTTCGATGATACTGTTAACTTTCTCAAATAGATAATTAAATAAAAGGCTCAGAAGGTGTTATTTTTGGCAATTATCTGTTATTCCTTCAACCACTAATGAAAGGAGTTTGTGAATGTTCTTATACACGATTTTTTCATCAACTCAGCAGTAAGAACTGAAGAATAATCACCAAATCGAGGACACCAGCCAGAGGAACGTAGTTTGCCTCTTCTCCAGCATTGGCGATAGCTTTCTCCATCGACTTGAGGATTTGATCCACTGGCGCCCATTCTCCTTTTTGGCATAGTGACAAAATCCTTTGTGCTGCATCCCTGACGTTGGATCCTGCACTTTGAGGTTTTGAACTTGGCCCCTCATCTCCCTCAGGGTTACTGGCGGTTTCATCTTTGTCTTTCTCCTTGGTGTCTTTGTTGGTACCTTTGATAAAGAGGAAGAAAGTCAATTGAAAATTTCATAAGTGAACGAGAATTGAATAATGAAATGGAAATGATTGTTTTATATGAATTTGAAAATAATTGCTTTCTTTTTTTCTTTGGACGATTCTCACATTTTTTGTATGAACATGCTGAAGTAGAAAGCCAAAACCTTCCTTTCCCATAAACTATAAAAACATTGAGAAATATTTCAAGATGTTTAGTTTTTCAACAACAAAATACTAGTGGTACTTTAATTTATTTTCTATATATTAGTGCGGATAAAAATTTTGTGAAAAAAAATCACTTAAAGTACTTTTTGAAAAAAAACCCAAAAGTGTGACATCACTTGCCGCCAAGAGGGCACTATCAACCTTTATTTCGAATGGAAAGGGTGGTCTCGTGATATTTTGTATAAAAAATATTTCAATTACTTTCACTTTTTTGAATCTCGATAACCGGTTGCGGAGTTTTTGATATTTGGAATTATGACAATGTTTTTCTAAATAAACGTTCATTGGAGAGGGAAATAAATAAGTAACATCTTTTGCAATATATGAGTGTCAATTTTAAGGACATAAAAAGCATTCAATTTCAACCCCGTCATTATTCATCTCTACATAAAAAATTATCTGAGCAAAGGTTCAAAATGTTCTCTCTAAACCTCCTAACAGTGGAACAGTCTATTTTTGAACTCATTTCTAACATTTTGGAGAGTTTATGGGGTAATGCTAGCATAAGTTTCGGCAATTATGTCTCAGGTTGCGGCATATAAACTTTAGATTTGATGTAACCCTATAAGAGGAAATCGAGAGGAGTCAAATCTGGTAAACGAGCAGGCCATTCCAATGGACCTCGCCTACCGACTTACATACCTTGGTATGTCTGATCCAATTAATCCCTAAAAAAATAAGCTTACCATCTTATTGGGAAACCCTGGATTTTTGAATTCACCTCAAAATTTCAACTATAAATTCGAAATTCCGACTTCAAACTTGAAATTTCAAGATTGAGGATTTGTTTATTTGAAAATTACGACATTAAAAATGGAAATTTCAACTTTACTCTCGAAATTTACACTTTAATCTTGAAATTTCGACTTCAGTCTCGGAATTTCGACTTTGCTTTTGAACTTTTGAGTTCAAAATTGAAAGTTTGAGTATGGAAACGCTTGAGAAAGCTATTGCTAAGCGAAACACGTGTTGCAGTTGTTTCCGGTTTCGTGAACTGATGTCTAGTGAAATTCTCACAATGAAGTGTTACTTGAATACTTATGTATTTTCGTCAAGTATCGGTCGATTTTATTAAATATTTTTTGTTATTCAAGGGTTGCTTGAGATATGAAGTTTAGATAGCTTCACATCAAGAGTAGCTAGCTCTAAGGTATACTGGAATTTATCAAAAATGATTTTCTTTGTTTTTGAGGTAATTGGAGACTGTGAAACTTCAATGATTGCAACAAGACATACGACTTAGGTGTGTGTCCCATATCTGCCCAAATGGTCATCTTGATGGTAGTAATTGAACATTTCTAGATAGGAATAAGATGGAATTACCTTTTTCAGAGCAATGCCATGAGAAATGTCGATATTATATTCAGGGCCTATCATATCGAGAGGGTTGCATATATCTACCTCTTTCTCAGCTCCTTAATCATGCTAGTAAAATAAACAAAAAAATGTTGTCAAATTGGGTCTGAAACTTAATCAGTAATGAAATAGAACTCTGCATTGGTCAAAAATCTCAAGGATCAACCCTCTAGAAAACTGAGTAAGTAGGTATCTCTCTTGGATTAGGATCGAAGTAAGCTACTAAGCCTTTTGACTTCCACAATTCGAAGTCTATGAAGTCTGTAGTACTCTAGTTCAAAATATCAATAAGAAGACACTTTATTATAAGAATATACTATGACCATTGGCATAAGTTGTCATTGAAAAAGCAAAAAGTAGTGTTGCTTATCCACTAGATGTTCCTTCGGTTGATTATTAACTTAAATTTCCTCGTTTATTTCATTTCGATTATCTGAAAATGAGATAAATTAATTTATAGAACCTCAGGGGTCTTTCATGTTTTCGATTTATAAGTTTTCAATAAATTAATTTTTATAATGTCTTACTTGGATAATTAGAACGTACACAATAGTTCAATGAAAGTCTTGTAATAAGTAGTAGAAAACATTACTGTCACCATTATAAATAAGAAGCACTGTTTCGGCACAAAATTATTACTGATATACGGACATTTCTGAAAGCTCTGGCGTTACCATAATTGGTNTGACAAATTTGGACTTGAATGGTTTGCGTTCATTTTTGTGAAATTTTATTTTTTCTGAAATTTGTCCAATTTTGAATGCCATTTTCTTTCTATTTTTCAATAGTTATTAATCACATCAACACATTTCTGCAACTCCCACACTTCACTTTTGAACAATTTGAAATGCATTTGTTAATGTATTATTCAATACCAAACGGGTTAGGAATGCACCAAGTTTATGTCAATTGATATCTCTTGCAAAATTTCATGACAAATTATGTTCAAATATACGTATAGGGCATTAGGATTTCATTTACTTCCAAAACAATGGAACAGAAGGAAGTTTCATGTCTATGAAATTGATAATAAACAATAAATTCATTCAAAATACGTAAGCTTCCAAAAGAATTATCAAAAATAGTGAAATTCAAATGAACAGAAGATTCGAATTCACAAATATTTTGTAAGCTGATGTAGTTAGTGGCCAAACATGTGCTTATTTCTCCAATTAGAGTTTCAAGAAATAACTTTTCGCACAATGACAATGAATATGCTAAAAAAAACTATTATACACACCTGCTTTATTGGCACTGGCTTCTTTATTTTCTTCATTTTTGGTTTCTTTGGGGGGGCCTTTGCCTCCTCCTTTCTTTGCTCCAGGTTGAGACATCTTTCAGTACAAAATCAACGTTATTTGAGTTTTACATTGCTCACATCTTCTAACTTTTATTTATTGTATTTCAAAAAGCGCACCGTATTTCTCATCAGTAAAGCAAGTACAAGAAGGCACTGCAAAATTAAATGTCCACTTGACATGTTTTAACAGTTTCTTCAATTGTACGTTTTTTATAAATTCAAATTGAATTGTTTACAATAAATCACTCTATATTTATACATTATTTTCTGGAAAACGTGGTCGCAAAATGTTACATCATCAAAAATATCAGAATCTACTTTCTGCACAAAAACACATTTCTTAGGCCTTTTGCATACCAAACTAACGCTTTGAACAAAACTGCGATACTAACAAGAGAGTAAATCCGATCTTGGCCAATGAGGGGTTGTTTCTCCCCACCAAATATCTTGGCATGGGGTGTTCTGCCGTGATTCAACAATACCTTGTCGTGTAGACACATTGACCTAGTGTAGTATGCTAAATTCTCAGATTATAGATTATTTTCTTTGCTTATGTGAAGTAATGGAGTTTCGAGGCGATTAACTCTAAGGAGTGATTTTCTTATATAGGGTCTTTTACGACGGATGTCCATTGAAAATTTGAAATATATTGAGTTATGGTTCCGAATGCAACCAGTTCAATTAGAACGGTTTCAACTTCCAACCAATAATTGAATTTAATCCTCAACAACAAAAACATGAATGAATTATCCAATACCAAAAATTGTTGTTTCGATCTGGTATAGATCTCATTGTGGTTATTAGCCTGGTTCATGAAAGCAACCAAAGTTTAAATTCTTCTAACGTATTCAAAAACACACATTAATGTGAGATTTCCACTTGAAACTTTAGAAAACCCCGACACGTGTTTTACTATACGATATCCTTAACAAGAACGCGGTGCTATCTTTCGAATCGACAGAAAACTCACATCCTACTTATCAAAGATAAACTAGTAACTACTCATAATAATCAGATTGTGGAATTGGCTGCGGTGGTAGTGCGCCCGACTCACGATCGGACGGCCGTGGGTTCGATTCCCGCCGGGATAATTCTGCAATCGTGTTAGGAATCACACGTTAAAAGGTAAGACCTCGTTAGTCCTTAGCTCGCACAAGTTTCTGAACTTCTGAGAGTTGTCGTTTGTATGGGGGCGACAGCTGATTAACGGAAAAACACATTTTAAACAGACAGACAGATCTAGATAACTAGATGGTACCAGAGCAAAAGTTGTTAAACGTTTCACCCATTTGAGTTGATGACTTGCTTTTCAAGATGAAAGGGATAGATTTTTTGGCTTCCATAGAACTGTGAAATATTCGTGAATATTCGAGAGCATTCCACAATATTCCAAAGCATCCAGGAACATTCTGGAATGCTTCAACAAATGGAGTCGCAGAAGATATGCCATAACTTCGTCCCGAATTCTGTTCAGAATTATATACACCTGTCGTAACAATGAACGGTGCTTAATTTATTTAAAAGAAAAAAATTCTTTAGAAACAATTACTATATGAACACTGAATTATACAGAAGATACTTTTCTCTACTCAGTTTGTATTTCAAACATTCGTTGAAATACAAACAAAGTAGAACTCATTCACATGAGTTCTACTTTGAATGAATGAAATTGCACTTAAATGGAACACTGTCACCCTCACTGGTATACACCGATGTTTCGCCTCAAGACACTTGCCCCAAGGTTCTTCAGTACCAAATTGGATGACATAGAAAATACACACAATTCATTCATGAATTACGATTTTATATCTATATGGTATAACATTCGAATGCTCTAATTCATTTCATTGAATAAATTGTCTTTACTTTTCAGGCAAATTGAGATCTGTAACAACACTTTTGATATATTTTTGACATGTTGTTAGGTTTGCTAAGAACTATCGATCTAGCTAATGTAATTTTAAGGAACTCTCTTAAGGAAAAATGTATCGTGTCAAATAATAGGAAATAAAATAATGAGAAATAACTAATCTAAGTGGAGTTATACAGGGCGTTCCAACGAAAACTTGACCCCCTTGTAAGTCAGAAACGGACGTGTAATCGAAAATTTTAAAGAACACGTCAATTTTTATTTCTAGGGGGACTAATTTTGATATGGAAATCAAACCCGGAAGTTCACCCCCTGCGGTCAGCAACTACCCCTCCTATTTTTTTCAATGGCATAGGAAGTCGAGTGATACATCATTTAAAGGGTCTTTTGTCGCTCTATGACACCTGGATTTTTTTTTCGGAATTGGTTCATTCGTTATTGAGAAATTAAATGTTGAACGTTTTATTTAAGAAAAAATAGAAAATCAACAAACGTAATATCAATGGCAACACAATCAACAGATAATGTGTTCAAAATCTAGTTCCATACAATAATGCAGTCTACTTTAGAAAGCGTTCCTTACATTATTCTTGTAGATGTCCGGAATCAGAAATCGGCATTTCCGAACAATTCTCTGTCGCAGGTCTCCTAGATTTCTAGAATTTATTTAATTAGTAGTACAGGTTTTGGAATGGACGACACTGTTAGTTTTTTCTGCACTGTAACTTTTGTTGAATCTAGTTGTCGCAGAACGAAAAGTTCTACTGAAGAAAGAATAGAAATTGATGCAACCTATTATTGAAATAATGAATGTGTTGAAGCTGATGCAAGAATTTATAAAACGAATCATTCAGACCACTACGTGAGACATCAATTCGTTAAACAGTTAGGGCCAGTTTCACAATGTCTGGTCATCTAATGGTTAGAACGAATCCATTGGTTTCACCAACGGTGGTCAAGCATTTACCTGAAGTAGACCAAAGGTCAACTTTACTATAACCTAATCCACTGGTTGAGAATTGACCAAAAGAAAAAAAACCCTACTTTTCTATTTATTGTGTCCATTTATTTGTATTTTTTGATTTTCAAGATGGAGTTTTACGACATAAATGCATTTAGTGACGATGAAGAAGTGGTACGGCATCCAAAATTGATTAGACCTAGAACAGATTTCTTTGAAGAATATGATCAAAAGGACTTTTTTGACCGTTTCCGATTAACTCGTAGAACAACGGAGCCTATTGTAGAAGAGATTAGAGACCTCATTGAGAGTCCCACAGAAAGGTTTGTTTCAAAACTCCATTATATTATACGTATTACTCATATATGTAATTTTTTTCCATAGAAATGACTGTTTATCAGCCAGTGATCAAGTTCTTCTGGCTTTGAATTTTTATGGTAATGGTTCGTTCCTAAGAACAGTATCTGAATTATNGGTTCAGTGGGTTCAGCCAAATTGCCACAGTCATCATTTATCAGCTCTGACAGTTGGTCTTCAACAATATTTTTCACAGCTGTGACAGGTACAGTGAGCTCAGGCAGTCTGTTAGAATCATAACTATTGTATATACTTGCTCCCTGAGAATATTTTTCATCACAATATCTACAGATGATTCTGGTTGTGGTTTATAACTTCTCTCACCAGTTTGTAACATTAATTTTTTTTCTTCTGTCAATTTATGTTTTGTTCTCTTTTTAATATTATTATATTTCTCCTTCCAATTTCATTTGGGACCTGAAAGAGTTTTGTCCACTACAACTATTAAACTCTTTTTCAATTGTTTTCAACGTTTCCTCTTTTTCTTTCCATGTCACAGTGTTACTTTTTTGCATTCTATTATTGCCCTATATTTATCCACCAGATTTATAAGTAATTGCTCTTTTTCATGGATGAAGTTTGAACAACTAGTGTTTTTTGATGTATCCATTGAAGTTAAATTAGTATCTAAAAATAAGTTCACTCAACTCTGTAAAATCTGAGAAAATATAACTCAACACTCACAAAGACTAACTCACTACGATACCTTCTCATCGACATTCACTTATTTACATCAAATAAATGTTAGGTATAGTTGGGTTTCTTCTCACCAAATTCTATTGCCAACGTTATAGAAGTCGATACCAACGATAGTCACTTGACCACCACTATTATATATCTTGTGAAACGATTCAGGCTGCAATGGTTACTTAACCAGAGTTTCTCTGGTTAAGTGACTAACTTAACCAGAGTTTCTCTGGTTAAGTGACTAACTTAACCAGAGTTTCTTTGGTTAAGTGACTAAAAAGATCACCATGCATTGTGAAACGGGCCCTCAATGGATAAGGTTCGAATTTCAGGTTCTGTTCAGAAAACATGAAGTATCCCGTCTTGTCAGAAATGACGGAGTTGAAGTTGCAGTTTTAGGGCATGTACAAATGGATAATCGACAATTTATCAGACAAGTATCAGAACGTCTGGTATATCAACTACCGAAAGACTACAAATACCATCCTTCCATAATAAGGCTACTTCAGGAATTCTCTGTATCTGTAGAGTAGGGAGGGTGAGTGTAAGCCCACGCACTTAGTCCACATGTGACCGAGGAGTTGTCCTTCTAGGTCATCGTCCATCCTGTCCTTTCCAGGAAGGTGGACAGGTCGCTGGGAGACATCTCCTTCATATCGGCAGGTGTAGGCCAAGACTCGCCGAACATACACTCTCTTATTGACGATAACTCCGGGCACTCGCACAGGACATGCCTGACAGTTTCATCTTCCTGTTCACACATCCAGCATAGAGGTGTGTCTACTAGCCCCATATTATGTAGGTGTTTCCTTAGTTGACAGTGGCCAGTCAGAAATCCTACTGTAAGGCGTAGATTTTTCGTGGTCATCGCCAGATATTTCTTCGGCGCCAGCTTCCCAGGGTCGCCCAAGGTGATCCTGTCAAGATTACATCCTTTGATTTCATCCCATCTATTTAAGGATTGAGCATGGGTGTAACATTTGCCTAGTTCCGCAATTGTCGAAGTCATCAGGCCGTGGGTGCCACTGATGATGCCACTTCAGGAATTGAACGAAGATGATCCTGATCGTCGACTTCAGTTTTGTGAGGTGTTTAGCGAGAAATTGATCAATAACTCAAACCTATTATACAATACATGTTTTTCAGACGAAAGTTCTTTCATGTTGAATATTGAAGTGAATAGACATAATTGTCGTTACTGGAGCAATGTGAATCCTCATTTGGTGATGGAAACACATTCACAAACTCCACAAAAATTGATTGTCTGGGCCGGCATTCTTGGTAATCATAATTGGAAATGATGTCGTCAATTTAGTAGAAAATGAAATAAC